CGGGGATAACTCCTCGGGCCTCTGACTCCTCCTTTCTTGATCACAGGTCTTAAGGCACGGCCTTGTCCTTGTAGCTCGGCCCTGCTCTGTCAGTAAGGACTATCTGGTTGTTCTCCTTTGTTCGTGCACCACCTTGGATTGAGTAGCATCAGTAAAAAATCTGCACAACTATGGAAAGCTCAAAATTTATATTTTGGTAAAAATATGGAATGCCCACATCAACTTTCGAAATGACACTTGAGCTGACTCTCACATGAAATTAACCTGAATAGTTTATATGGAACTCAAAAAGTCAACCAACGTGGCTACAAGGTAGCAGCTTGTAAAATCCCTCCTAAAATGGCCTAAGAAAGGTAACCACATTGTTGATCTTCTATTGTTAGATTTTAGGATTGTGGATTGTAGAAGACTTAATGTGCACAACAATTGTGTCATCTGTTACAATCCAAGAAGTTGTAATTTGGGGACTCATAAATTGGCAAAATTTTCCAAATCTTATTCTTATACAATTTTAGGAATGGCAACAGGCCGGGGTGGGGCGGGGATGGGGAGTCACTTCCATCTTCATTCCCACAAAAATCGTATTGTCGTCCCTGTCCCYATCGGCCAATCAAGGTTATTTCCATCCCCGTCCCTACCGTGATCCCCACTCCTCGTGATGTTTTTTATGAAGTCAATCATTTTGTTGTTATTTTTTATTTCATGTAGAAATCAAAAATAAAATTGTTAAAATTTACAATAAAAAAAGATCTAAATATATCTAAACATATCCAGTCAAACTTTTAATATATATATATATATATATATATATATTGTTCATCTTCCCTTTCATAAACCTGCTAGGCATTAATTTCTAACTTTATTTTGGTTGAAGAGAATAAATCAGCCTTGGGTCTTAAAAATTTTGGTGAAAATCAATTAATTATTAGGCCATTTTTCTTAAGTTTATCCCCTAGCCACTTGGGGCATGTTCATTTCCTCTTAACTCTTACCTCTTAATAGGAATCTTACAATCTTAAGAAGTAAATTGGCACTCATTTCCTCTTCTCTCTTATCTCTTAAAAAGAAATCTTACATTTTTTTTTGTTTTCCAATGATACCCCAAAAACACAACATTTTTTTATTATTATTATTATCATTACTAATTAATTAATTAATTAGTTATTATTGATTATTATTAATTATTATTAATTATTAATAATTATTATTAACTATTATTTCTTAATTAGTACTGATTATTAATTAATAATTGTCATTATAACAATTTTTAACATTATTTTATTTATTACATTACAAATAATTAAGTATTAATTATTAAATAATAAACATTATTATAATTAATAATTATTATTATTAGTTATTAATTTTTAATTATTATAATAAATTTTAATATTATTCTTCTATTGAATTACATAGACAAACATAAATTCTTATATATGGGGTTAAAATGGATATTTGATAATTTTCAGTATTCAAAATTCAGAACAACATTCTCTGCATTCAGAGTTTAGAGGAAAGAAAGTTCACTAATACTAGTATACCTCTTAATGTAATTATTGTGCTTTCAAATGTCAAATGTCAGAGCAAACAAACAGGTCCTTAATATATTGTCTTATAATTTTGGGTAACCTTTGATTCTTGTTCGAATAATAAGGATTCAACTTGGGTGAATTGATCTGAGTTTAGGGCCAGACTATGTTAATTAAGCGAGTTCCCACCCTAAGCCCAACTCAAACTAAACCTAACAGAATTTGAGCTTAGTTATATWGGCAAATTAATCAGGTTTGGAAGGTTTCTTATTTCTAAATGTCACATTACATAACACACACACATACACTTGAATATACATATGCAACGTTTGAAAATTGAAATATCATAGCATACCACTCATACATATTTGAATGTTAGTAGACTATATTCTTTTGAATATCAAATTTTGGTTGTATTTATTAGTTGCCATCTAATTCATTAAACCTCACAATTTACACCTCATTAATTGTGGCTCTATTGCACCATTTAAACCTCATTAATTGTGGTTTTCTGAAATTTGAAATTTCAAAGTTTAAATCTTAAATCCCACCATTACACTATTAATTGTTGTTTCTCAAACCTCACCATTTAATTATGAACACAAGTTTAAAAAATCACATGTTATTAGTAAAATATGAACCTGTCTTCCATACCATTTACCACTAAGCCATCTTACAACAATGTACTAATAGTTAAAATAACATAGACATTATTTAATTTAGGGTAGATTGCAGATTAGTACCTTCTACTTTGGGCTTAGTCTTATTTTGATACCTGAATTTCAAAACATGTCAATCCAGTACTTGAACTCCAAAAACGTCCTGATTTATTTCCTACCGTTAGTAGTACATCAGTTATATGTGTCACATGATGAAATGTGTGATTTAAAACTTCTGAAAATATCAAAATTACCTTTTGAAATAAGACATTATTCATCATCTTCTTCTTCAAGAATCAAGATTGAACCAAAGCAATGGTAAACAACATGAAGGACAAGGACAATTGAATTTGGGCATTTGGATGGTTGGTAAAGAAAATTAGATGACACTAGAAAGGCATTTGCATCATTTCACATACCACATAACGGTAGTTAACGATTTCGGACTAAACTAGGATGTTTTGGGAGTTCAAATACTAGATTGGCACACTTTAAAATTTGGGTAAAATATAAAAACCTCCCTAGATTTTTTGACAATCTTATAAACCTCCTCTATATTTTGATCTTAACAAAAACATCCCCTAAAGTTTTGAAAAACATACAAATATGTCCATTCTAATACTTTATTTTTCAGTAATGGAAGCACTAAATTTACCAAAATACCCTTCCACTTTTCTTCCTCTCTTCTTTTGTTCAACACTTTGGCCACCAGGGGACCATGGAACTAGGAAGCTCACTACATCTTCTTCGATCAAGTCTTTCTAGGTAGACCTTTCAATAGCCCAATAGACAAGAAGACGCAATGAGCTTTTGGGGTATTGTCTTTAAAAACCAAGACTATTTGGTTCGCACATGGTCTACCAGGCTATTAAAAACAATTGGGAAAGTTATTTTTAGTGCAGAAAGACCAAAAGCTTCATTTGAAGCTTCCCAATTTTTGGTTGTTTTGGGCTTTCAGTCAACATGATACCAAACAACAAAAGACATTTTACTTTTTTTTTTATCATATGAGCTTTTTGCAGACCAAAAGGCATGCTGAAAAGATATATGCCCAAACACCACCACCCTCTTCTTCTTAATAACCATGATAACCAAAATTCCATCGAAAAGACAACTCTAGTTCCTGGGAACTGGCTAAGAAGCATTGTTTCTGAAAACCCAATATTAGATGGTCAGGATTTCATCCTTCTAGTTTGTTTGCATCAATTTATTGCATTCAGTATCATGATTCCATGCGCAACAAAAGGGGAAACATTTGCAAAAGTCGTATATGACTATAAGTAGTTGTGGATTCGAGCCGAGCCGATCCGGATAGTACAAGGCTCGAGCTCGAGCTCGGTTTGAGCTAGAACCTTGATCTCAAGCTCGACTCAAGTCAAAACTCATAAGCTCGAGCTCGGCTTGGCTCGAGCTTGATTTGAGAAAATTGTTTTATAAAAATAAAAAATTGTATATAAAAATATTTTTTATTTGATATTTAAAAAATTAAGAATTATAATATTTTTATTATATATATTGTTTTCTATAATTATATATATATATATATATATATATATATAATTATATAGCCCAATAGACAAGAAGACGCAATGAGCTTTTGGGGTATTGTCTTTAAAAACCAAGACTATTCGAGCTCAGCTCGAAGCTCGGATGAAACCAAACCGAGTCGAGCTTTTCACGAGTCAAGCTCGAGTAGCTCGTGAAGAGCTCAGCTCATTAGCACCCCTAACTGTAAGAAAAGAGGAGACACAAGGGAAGAAAATTTGTGAGAAGGGGAAAAGGAATCACATTCCTGTGTGGAGGGGGGGATGGCCATTCCCCATATGGGGGAATCCCATTCCACCTAAAATGTGAATGGAAATCTCAATCTGATCAACCAAATGGTTGGAATCAGAATGGGCCATTCTACCATTTTGATTTGGATTCCGATTCCATGCAACTACTCACACAAACCAAATGCAACTTCAGTTTAGGTTCAATCTTAACTTGAATAAGTTGAAGCCGTAGTTACACTTACCCAAGTTGCAGTCATATTCATTATAGGGCTAGGGTGATTCTCATAAAATGTTAGTAGGTTGTAGGCTTGTATCCCATCCCATGAGTTGAATTTCTATACCATCATAAAGGAACAATAACATCCATTTTGACTATAATAACTTTTTGATGAATACATGTATTAAATATGATTCCCACTATGATATTAGAATGGAATGATACCTAAAATGTGCTAATCAATCAAATGGTATCATATAAGTGGAAATCAATCAGATAGTATTGATCAAAATTCACGCGGAAGGGGAAGGGGTTCTGATCTGGCATCATAGAAATTTCTAATCTTTTGAGGCCAAGTAGGGAAGCTTTCTTAAGAGGCAGCTACTCTTGCCACATGGAAGAATCATGTTCCCAATCCAAAGCATCCATCAGAAAGGGGATCCTTTAGACTGGGCATGTCTTCAACACCAAGAATATACATTGGTTCTGTACCTCTTGTATGAGAGTTGGGCCCAAGTGATACTAGTTGTGCTTACATTTTTGCTCAATTTTTACGTTGTCTATATTACCTTTCATAATTTTAGCCACACTTTTAAAACCGTTTACTAATAAATAAAGATATAGACATTGATTTAGAAGACAAATAAAAGACTAAGGCAAATGCCATTTACAATATAAAACAAAACATAAGAAAAGCCATTAAACAAATGATAATGCATTATCGAATTCATATGTACGTACTAACATTTTTTATAATTAAGAAAAATGACTTAGTTTATACAAAAATTTCTTCAAAAAATTCAACCTATGCTTATAGAGCTCAATTTCTTCTAGGCACAAAGAGTCTAGCCCATGCATGCTTTCTATTGATGATGAATTTAGCTTTGTCTTTTCCACCAAGTATAAATGCTATAGTGGAAGGTGAGTAAAATACTAAACGAGCAAATAGAGGTTGCACATCTGATGGGACATCTTGCATGTATATTGCTTCAATGCAATCCCCATAATTCGTATTAAAGAAATCTCTAACTTCTTCTTCTGATAATGGGTACCCCTTAGAGAATGTAAGAAACAAGGTCCTATTATCTGGTGGAATCTCATCTGTTGGTTTCCATGGTTGAGCACTTGGGTTCAAGTCTGATTGCATGCATGAAGTATTGCTGCTTCCTTCTGCCGAAGATGCCATAGGCTTCGTAGCATTTGTTAGTGCCATGTATGCGATATCATCAAATGCCTTAATACATACATCATTTAACATCTTCCTAATTCCATTGGATGCACTAATCCTATTGTTTAAAAAGAAGTTGAGAGATATTTCTTGCTTCAAGAGTTTGAGTGTCAATGGAATGTTAGTATTTGCATGAGGAGGTATCTCTCCCAATTCAATACAGTTTAAACAATTTACTGCTTCATCTGCTAGTGCATTCACTATAGTATCAGGCAATGATAACATTTGATGGATAATATTTGGGTAACCAACATCTTCAAGCCACATCCATAATGCAATAACCTTCATAGACTGTGTTATATCTCTCCAAAAGTTTATCACTAATCGAAAATAAAGTTTCCTATCAATTGTATGAAATGACTTCAACTCTTCAGTGGTAATTGGGAAATTCATGGCCTACTAGTTGTAGTGGATACCTTGATTATCAAAAGACCTAGTGTCAACAAGAAAAAGAAAATTTTAATAAACTTATTAATAATTTATTTGCAATTACATCAAAGAATTAAAAATAAAATGATATGTAGATTTTATAATTTTTAATTGTTTTATGTTATTGAAACACATTAAAACCAATAAGTCATTTAATTTTTGTTCTCTAAATGGCAAAAAGCATGCATTTAAATTAATTAAAACTTGTACTTTTTGGAAAAAAATATAAGTAATTCAATAAAACATTTATTGGACTTGAAGATTTACTAAATAAACATAAAGAAAAATTAGAAAAAAGAAAATAAATAAATATTTTCTTTTAGGAGAGAATAGATCAGGTTTTGGTTTGTCTTATTATTCAAATTTTGTTTTACTTTATTTATATTTTAAAAAGGTGAAAAAGGATATGAAAAAGAAAATTTACTCTTATTTTATTTTGTTCTTCTTTTTTTTTCTATTTTGTCACTTAAACTAGGCATATAATAACCTTTTTAGTTTTTATTGACTTCTATTTTTTTCACAATTAAATGTAGTGTTAAAGAGTAAATACTGCATTTTATTTGCTTCTTTTCTCCACAAGTGAAGTACTTGTCGAGGAAGTCAATGTAGCTAAAGGAGTGAATAAAATTAGAATTTGTTTGTGGTTAAAGTCCTTTTGTTCTTACATATATTTGAAGCCTATTATTCTTTTAAGCTATATATTAAATAAATAGTTATCGGTCATGAATAGACCTGTTCATGGGCCAAGGTATTGATAGGCTAGCCCAACCCAACCCATTCTTTATTGAGCTTGGACACTGGACAAAATTTTAGACCCATGGGCTCAAACTCAAATAAGCTTTCTCAAGTCCAGTTTGATAATATTACATATAGTAAAAATATATATTAATAATATATATAATATAAATTTGATTATTAATTATAACCAAACTAATATAATATTTATTTATTAAATTACACTATAGATTATGTTCAAACCATGCTTCGGGCTTTATATAAGGGTCGAGCTCGGGCTTAAATTGTGACATTTTTTATTAATAAAAAGGCAAAGCCCAGCTGGACCCTTGAATAAGTCTAGTTATTGAGTAAACAATACAATATATAGATATTGGTTGGAGTTATCAGTTACAAGTAGAAAAGTATACGCACTATACATGGTGATTAATAGTGGACAAAAAGGACAAGATCGCTTCATTAATTATATAGTTTTCTTTGCATGCATTCAAGAGTATTTACTTTATATGGTACCATATTAGCCTAATAGATGACAAATACAAATAAATAAATAGATAATGGAGATCTCAAAAATTGATTTTTAATGAAGAGTTTTAATAAACACACCCATGCATGTTATACTATTAGAGATCGGTAGAACCTAATGTAAATCATTTAGGAAATTATTATAAACTATATAATGAAATAGGATCTAAAAACTATAAGACAATAATCAAACGCATTCATATTAAATGTTTAATTTAAACAAAAAAATAATAATTTTACTTTCAAAGAGTTTATTCAAAACATCAAATAGAATTTTAACAAAAAATGAACATTAGTTCAATTAAATGGTTGATGTAAAAAATTCTACTAATTCTACTATTCGCGTACAAGATTAACTATTCAGAAAAGAATTACCATTTTATTACTTTATTTATTTCCCAAAAATGTCAAATTAAATAAAAAATCTTAATATTAGACTATTTCTAAACACTACTTTGAATTTTGATACAAATAGAACTCTTAATTAAGCCATTACTATACTATTGTATATAACTAAATATTTCTCACAAAATGAGTATCATTAAAATAACTCAATAGATAAATTACCTTAAAGAAACATGTTGAGTTATTTTTCAACTAAGGACATGATCTCTAATAGAACTAATAAATAATTAATCAATATAAAATTATTAAAAATATATATATGAAAAATTACCTAAGAACCATCATTCTCTCATCATAACTCTAGTATAAGGATATAGGTGGTGATTGGAATTTCTTGTAAAGATGTACTTCCAAGTAAAAGAAGCCAAGAGAAAATTGGTTTTTCATAATTACCTAACTCAAGAATAAAATGTCTATAAAACCTCAAGAATAAAATAAACTAAACAAAAATATTATTTAATATAAATCCTTTCTTTTAGTTATTTAAAACCTACAAAAATCCTTTATTTGTAATGAAGTTCTTCTACTAAATAAAAATAAAGTAGGTTTTATATCAAAGGAAACATTTATAATTAAAAAAAAAAAAACAGATGACTCTAAAGAGTAAAAACATTAAACTCTAAAAATAAATTTGTACAGCAAAAGGAAACTACAAAAATATTTATTTAGAAAACATAAATTTTTAAAAACAAACAATGTTTATTTAAAATAAATTTATAAAAATATTAAACTTTAAAAACTTTGAACTACTTATTTAACAATAATTATTTATATCATTTTTAAATCTACAAAAAATGTTTTACAAAGAAAATGAATTTGTACAACAAAAGGAAAAACTTTTCTTATTTATTAAACATCACAAACATATGATGAATATTGGAAAACAATACTAACACTAAAGATTGCTGGTAAAACTAACCAAGAATCAAAGAAGTGACTATAACTTACTTTTAGTCTCCAAGCTTTATGTTCTTACTCTTTCTTCTTCCGTCTCTCAACATATTCTAACCTTGAAAGAAATTCTCAACTATAACTTTCTTTCTTCCTTGACTATGTATTTATATTTTAAATTACACAATTCTATAAACTCAAAATTTCTTATTTTTATTATCAATACAACCTTAATATCATAATTCCATAATATTATTCTTATCATCACAACAAGAAAATTTAATGACTAGGCGGTAAAGGTTGGTATAACTGGATTTTTACATAAATTCTAGAATAACTATGTTTAGAAAGTTTTTATTATTACTACTATTACCATATTCTTCAAAGACATAATTAAAGAGCCAACACATAAAAAATGTACTTTCTATAAATAGAGTTAATATGGAGAGAGAAAGTTTTATTTTTGGGTTTAATTTTAAAAGTTTTAGTTTAAGTAGTAAAAATACATTAATGAGAAAGTAGTTATTACCCATAAAGAAAAAAAAATTAAGCTTTTAAAATAATTTGTTTTAAACAATATTACAAGTTTGTTGGTATATACAAATGTAATAAAATTTAGATACCATAATTAAATGAATTTCAGCCTACTGATTTTAATTGAATAGTTAAATTTGTTATTTTAAAGCGTCGTATGTTTTTAATTAATAAATATTTATTTATATAGAATTTAATAGAATTTGCATGATATGAATTACCTTTTTTAGTTTTTATAATTATTTAAATTCAGAGCTTAATTATAATTTTAATAGAAAAGGTAAACTAATATATTTTTGAATATGTTATTTTACCTAACCACCTAGTCTACAAAAAAAAAATTATAATAAAAATAAACATCATTTATTAACAAATCAATGCATGGAATTATTTATTATGCCTAAATCCAATTAACTATGATGCTTAACAATAATCATGTAATTTACAATTTGGTTTGTTTGGACTCTTGTTGATGTTGTTCTTTATTATAATACAATATGAAATAAGTAATCCAATCTATAATCTAAAATTATAAACGAGATGACAAACTGGCAATATCATTGTTTGATATTGATGTAATTTGATTGCTAGAATTTGAATTTAATAGAATATTTCTTAATTTATCAAGCTTTATAAAATAAATTATAAGTATTCATTACATTATTAATGATTTGCTTGGAAAACAAAGAACAAGCTTAAAATGTAGTTATCTAATTTTGGCTTTGTTAGATTAATATGGGTTTCTATATGTGAAAAATCTATATTTTACAAATATAGTAAAGGTATTCTAAGAAAAACTAAATTACTTTTTTTATGTGGTCATTTAAGTGTTTCTTAGTCATAACTCAAACTTAGAAAGACACACTTTAATTTTTCTGAAATTAACATGTGATTTATGCTCTAACATATCTATTCTTAAAAATACTTTTTTTGATTTGAACTTCGAGTCTTTCCTTCTTAAAAGACTAGTAAGTGTGTACAATGCGTTGAACATGCCAATTTCAAATAATCAAAGAATGGTGTACTATTAGATTTATTGTTGCCAGCACCCAGTTTTTGCTCAGTTCATTCACCCTACCTCTTTATACCCTCTTTCGAGACCCCAACACTTGAAAACATAATCAAATCAACTTGAGACTTATTGAACCCAAAATTCCACTTTTCAGTGCAACCCACATGTTAATCATCTAACTAATAAACTAAACCCCTGATTAATAAGGACATTGAGATCAACATTTGACACTATGTAGGCTTTAGTAACCCAATTAGATATGATTCCTAGACTAAGAAAACTATAACTTAGTTACACATTAAATTTCATGACCAAACTCTAAAGATTCACTGTTTAACATACTAGCTTCCTCTTTAATCGTCTTGATCTACACAATGTTTTAACCTTAACTCAACAAAATCAAATCCAATACATTCCCACAAGGATACTAAGATATGATCAACTCCCAAATCACACCTCAAATCTAGATTGATCAACATAAAAAATGTCAAGATTCTATTCAACAACCCCAAATGAATATAGCTAAACAACCAAGATCAAGAATCCTTTTGTAGATCTGAACCTTACACCTAACTCCTCATATTAATCCATGCTCACAAGCCAAATTTCAAGTCAAAATTCCCTTGTTTAACCATTCAATCAACAAAGATTCCAATTTGATGCCTATGATTAAAGCACACAAGAAGTCATAGGCTAGGCAATCAAACACTTATAAGTAATTCCAAAATCCTCAAGATAATCCACCCTCCCAATTTCAGCCTTAAATTCCTACATTCCTATCCAAATCAAGGAAGATTCAATTTCAAATCTTCTTATTAATTTATAAACCATAAGTTAAAACCTTAATTTGAACCAAAAATGT